TTTTTTTTTCACTTCCTTGTGATTTCTATCTTTTATTTTCATCCATCATGTTTAGTTTCCTAAATATTGCTATTTGTAATTCTTTTTTAGGCAGTTCACCAATTTCCTGATGTTTGGGTTCTGGTATTGAAGAACTGTAGTCTTCTTTTGGGAGAGTCAGGTTTCCCTGTTTTTTCATGCTTCTTGTATCCCTGCATTGATGTTGGGGCATCTGGTGGTATAGTTGCCTCTTTTAATTTTAGGAGTGAATTTTGAAGGGAGAGACTTTCCTGTAGAAGTGTTCTGTATTGACAAATTGGGCGTTTTAAGTTTGGATCTGGGTGAGTGTGATAGTACAGGCTTTGTGCAACTTCTTCAACTGTATTCAATCTTGGAGTTGTCTGTGGATGCCCTTGTGGCCTAGGCAGTGGGGCTCTCTACAGTTTCTTGTTGGGGTAGGTGTTCCTGGGGAGGGTTGTTGTGGCTGTGGTTCTGGCAGTTCTGTAGAGGCCTGCTTTGGTGGGTCGAAGCCCCTGCCTGATCTCCTGATCTGCTGTTGGTCAGTGAGAAGGTGTAGAAGCTCTGTAGAGGGCTGATGGATCAGCTGTTGAGACTGGAGCAAGCCTGCACAGATGTCATAGGACCCAGTGGCTCTTTAGAGGCATGCTGTGGGGAGGAAAATATGCTACCTAATCTGTGGTTGGTCATGGAGTAGGTATATACAGGTTCTGCAGGGCCGGGCAGTTCTGCAGGTGGTCACCTGATCAGCTGTTGAGACTGGTGCCAGCCTGCAAGGGTGCAGCTGAGCCCAGCTCTGTAGAGGCTTGCTTTGGAGAGTCAAAGCCCCTGCCTGGTCCACAGTCAGTCAGGGAGCAGATATACACTGGTGCAACAGGTCCTGGCAGCTCTGCAGAGGCCACTGGATCAGCTGTTGAGCCTGTAGCAAACTTGCAAGGAAGCAGCGTCTCCCAGTGGCTCTGTGGAGGGCTGTGTGGGGACGAGGGGCCACCATTGGGCTGGCTGTTGGCTGGCGGGGGCACCGTGGGCTGTGCAGGACAGGTGCACGCAGGTGTGGGGAATAGCCGCTTACTGGTAGCTTCCCTGCCCAGCCTGGGTGGAGAGGAGCGAGTGTCATGTGGGCTCAGATGCTGGGGTCTTGGTCCCTCTGTCTGGCCAAGGTGTTAGGCAGCTGGGGTTGTGGTCCTGCCAGTGCCTGTGCGAATGTGTGGAGGGTCACAGGGTAGGGCTACTGCCAGGCTGGCTGTGTGCTGGTATGGACACCTGTGGGTTCAGTGGATTCACAGGCCATGCCGGGCAGGCAAGTACAAATGTGGGGAACCACTGTGCGTTGGTGGCTCTTCTGCTCAGCTGGTCTGCCTGCTCACCTGGAGGTGGAGGGGGTGCTGCATGGGTTCAGACAGTGTGGTTTTGGTCTTTCTGCCCTAAGCCCCAGGCAGCCAGGGCCATGGTCCTGCCAGCCACCTGTATGAATACAGTAGAACACAGGCAGGGCCTCCGGACAAAGGGAGTCAGTCTTACCAGGTCCAGGGCACGACACAGTCCAGCTGTGGGTATGATTCCAAGACGGTGCTGCATCAGAGCTGCTCAGGGCAGGAGGGGGTTTCCTGTCTGTGCAGTAGAACACAGGCAGGGCCTCCGGACAAAGGGAGTCAGTCTTACCAGGTCCAGGGCACGACACA